CTACTTCTACTACTTCTACTGCTACTACTACCGCTACTACTACCGCTACTACTACCGCTACTACTACTACTACTACTACTACTACCGCTGCTGCTGCTACTACTACTACTACTACTACCACCGCTGCTGCTGCTACTACTACTACTACTACTACTACTCCTGCTGCTGCTGCTGCTGCTGCTACTTCTGCTACTACTGCTACTACAATTATTTGACGACGACAACTACTGTACTAGTAGCTACTACTACTACTACTATTACGGCCTAAACCTTGTGGCTGGCAGGCCGACCGCAGCCCCGGTGATGCCGCGACGAGCGCGCCAAAGAGGTTCTGAGGGAAGGTTTGGGGTGCAGGGGACCATCGCTAATAGCGTCCGGGGCTATATGGTCGGACTCAGGAAACGATACAGTAGCGAAAAAATATCAGTGCGGCACGAGCCGGAAACGTCATGACTTTCGGATGTTGTCAGGAGCAGGCGGTCTTTGTGAATCTGCTGTGATGAGCTGTTGCCTTTCTTGATTCACGGGCGGGTCAGACAACGGGTTGAGTACGTGACTTTGGGTCTTTCCAGTGATTCCATTGCTCAGCATACCTGAGCTCGAACAGCTGATTTGGAGCCAGCTCTACCTTGCAAAAGCCCTTGAGATGAAGGTGACTGCAGCGCTCCCGGCAGCTGACACTGCATGTGGCTTCCACCCGCGTGAACGCCCAAAAAGCGCGGCAGGAGCCATCTTCAGGAATTCAGCCGGTCCTCATTGGGCTCGCAACACGCCTGATCTAAACTCGAAATTTCGGGAAACTCCTGCATTGCGCAGCTTCTCTTCCTTAAGCCTTGCTGAAGAAGAAGATAGATGCTACATATTGCTGAGTGACAGATGTATCTGTTGCAGAAAAGATAGAGGTGCCTGGCAAGATCTTTGCTGCTGCAAGAGACTCCGTAGAGAATGCCAAAAGAGGCCAGTAGGACAATCTCCGCGCAGGATCGGTAACACAAGAGCAGCAACCTGCAACGTCACATTTCAGTCGCAAAGACACGTAGACACAAGATGATAGCAGACATTTCTGCTAGTTTCAAGTTTCATGCCAGTCAGCCAGTCAGCAGCTCATGAACGATGCGCATGAGGCCTGATGCATCAAGTCCCTAACCTTTAAGGCCTTCTTGATCACCAAGCGGCTGCTAAGTAATACCAAGACGGGACAAGCCACACGATCGTCTGAGACATGCTCATGTAGGCAGCTCATGCAATTCGGTTTGTTCTTGCTGAAGTGTTGCTCTCCAGGCCACTCTGGGTTGCCGCGCCACTGGTCGCCAGTCTGAGGCGCATGCACAAAGCCCTCATGCATGGCTATTCGCAGAAGGTAGCCTGGAACTTGAATCATGGGCATATGTTGTCCATATAGAAGTACCGCAATGAATGCTGGCGACGTTGATGACAGGATCATAAATATGGCAGTGGCAGCGAGTTCGGTGGGCTGCAATGCACAAGCTTAGAGATACGAACCACAATTCAATACGACACACCAATACCACGCTACCCAAAATCATAGCAGTTGCACGCTCAGAAACACGAACACTCTGTTGAGAGCTGGAGCAGGTTAGAAGTTATCGTGCCCAGCCTTTGGGCACACGCCGCCCAGCGAGCCAGCTTGCGCCGGACACCCGGAAAAGCCACAGCAGGTAACGGGTCAGAGTGTCTCCCCGACTGGTGCCGGCAATCGTATGAGAAGTGTTAGCACTTGTCTGATTGATCTTGTTGATTCTTGTTGTAGCAGGTGTACGGAGAGCTAGACCTTTGACGAGACACCACATGGAACCCCGACAAGATCGGGTCGATGTGTTGGTCGTTTTGAGAACCACCATGCACCGGAGGTTTTGAGGGGAGAGGCGCCGCGTGCGTGAACCGGAGCCACTGCTGACCGCAGGCCAGCGTTTCCAAGAGTTGGGGCCCGAGCTCCGTGCCAAAGACTATCGCAAGATCCTCGGCTGCCGATTGTGTATGCAACGCACCAACAGTGCCCTTGGAACCCCAAATATATCCCCAGCAGTGCAGGCTAAGCTTCCGTGCTGCCCCCGAGGTGTGGAGCTGCATTTTATTCTGGGCAACCCAGTCGGAGCATCTGTGGATAAGGCGGCACCGTGCATCATGCCGTCCGGGGTGTGTTGGGATTTGCTGCAGCCCTTTATGCAGGAATCGGTGCACCAGGAGCGTGCCCAGTTCGGCGATTTAGTCGTGCTGTGTTCTCAGATTGCTGTCTGCTTTTGCGAGCCAGAATGTAGCCTGCGAGAAGAAGGACGGAATGATCTTGAGAGCGCGCGGTCGTATATGGAAGTGGCATGAACTGAGTGGCATCTCAGCAGCTGTAGTTTATCACGGCTTTCCGGCACAGGTACAAAGATAATACACATCCAGAGCGCCCACGCACGGTTTTGATAGCCGGACTCTTGATTTTCCAGGGTTGTTTTTCAGAAAGATCTGTAGCCACACGCAAAAGGCTGGGAGCTCCAGAGACCGACGAGGAGATGCTACGGAAATGCCGGGAACGCCAGGCGGTCTCGATTCGACGGCTTTGGGTTTCAGAGCATGGCTGCTAATGTCAAGATGTAGACTCGGCGATGTGCTCACAGCCCTGATGTTGAAATGCGGGCATCACCGACCTTTGCAGACTAGCCAGGCGACATGAACTCCAGAAGCCGGGCTTCTGACCTCTATGAACCATCTAACTAGTTCTGGGCAGCTTTTGGTGAATTCTGGGCAGAGTACAACGAGACGGCAAAGCTCGTGCCAACCGGAATTCCGCCAGCATTCAGGCCTCCGCAGAGGAAACAAGCGAACAGCCAGCTTCCCAGCCTCATCTACCCAGAGAGCCAACAAAAACACGACAGCTCATGATGAGACTACAGTGCCCTTGACGCCATGGCAGCAGATGAGTCTGCAGTCGATGCATGGCTGGCTCGTTTGTGTGAGGAATGTTGGGACTTGCAGCCTCGGGCTGATCATTGGTAGTGACAACGAAGTCCTCCGGCTTATCAAGGCCAGGTTGCCGGACGCCAACGGACAGCTTTCGAAATAGCACCAGGAACTGTAAGGAACTCACAGCCAAGCTCTTGAAAACCAAGATGTCCGAAATTCATCTACTACAGTTAGACCCTGAGACCCTGAGTCAAAAGCTTTGCCGTCGAGGCATCCCCTCAACCTCATTGTATCCAAGCGTGCAGTAGAGCGTTTTGGCACTGACTTTTGTCAGCTAAGCAGGATCGGGTAAGGCAGACAAATCTTCAGCTCCGAAACTGCAGATTTACTCTGTGTAATTCTGGTGCTTGCGATGTTTCGGATCTCTTTCACATTCCTAGCATGACCGCAACGCTGCAGGACTCGCAGGGCGACAACCGCAGCAAGGACTCAATGCCGAAGTTTCGCTTCAGACGGGGAACTTCCCGCATTGGGAGCTTCCAGCGCTTTGCAGCCTGCCGCAGGAAGAGTTTCTGAAAGACTTCTTTCGCACCTTCAAGGTGCCTCGCCTGCTTTCCAGGTTCCGGTTCATGCAGCGCCTTTGCCCTGTCCGATTGTCACGCCACACCTCCAGCATATTTCGTCCTGCAAGCTCTGAATGAAACCCAGAGGGCTGCAACTCTCGAGCCTCGGACGTGCTCTGTAACTCTTAAGTCGCACGGCCCTGACTACTTGACTGAAGCAAGCACTGCTGCTTAGATCTAGCACTTTCAGTGCCATAGCCCAGCATTCAGACCTGGAGCTGAAACTATCCTACTAGTGCCGCTCTTGACTGGCTCGGTTCGAGGGATGGCTTCTCCAACAGTATCGAAGCTCGAAGACTCCAGAAAGAAGGCCGATGAAGCTGCCATCCGCGATGCCCTGGCTGCCGTGGATTCGGGTGGTGCCGCAGAGGCAAGGGCATCCCTGCGCAATTTCAGCTGGTCGGCGCCTTGGCACAGGTCCACGAAGCCCTGGATGCCCTGCTGAGGCAGCAGCAAGCTCTAGAGGCACGGGTGAAAGCAGGTTCAGGCTCAGGGCCTTCGCCTTCAGCAGATGTTGCAGGGGCACGCTTTGTTTCCAGGATTTTCATACCACGGGTCAACGATCACTTCAAACTAATCAGCATCAGCGCCAGGATCGTTAATGTCACGGTTTGCGTCATCGTCATGGTCTTCGCAAGCGTCATAACATGTGTGAAAGGCCTCATCACCACCCTCGTCGCCAGCATCACCATAATCAACATCATCGACATCACTACCATGATGCAGTGATTCCATATAAGAGCACGTTGCCTCTCATTGTATCATGACACACCATGTCATATCATGAGATGTTGTATCATGCCGGATCTGTCATCATATGACAATGTCAGTCCAGTTACGTCGCATTGTACCCATGTCACATCATGCAGTAGCATTGCATAGTTTAGCACAACACAATACTGGTGTTATCACATATAGCGCATCGGAGCGTCATCGTCAACATGTTCATCGCCGTCATCGTCATCGTCGTCGTCGTGGTCGTCGTCCGATCATCGTCACCATTACCATTACCGTCAACAACAGCATCATCATCCCCATCATCACGATCAAGCTCGTCGTCATATGTTTCATCCAGTGGCCCAGTGGCATTATCGTTGTCGTCATCGCCACCAGCATCATTGCCACATGCAAAAGCAACCACACTGCCACCAGCCCTACAATGGCCACTGCACTCTTGCCCCACAGCTATTGAATGTTTGCTGTTCTTCCAAGGTTCGGTTTCAGACTCTGTCGGGGATACAAGCCGCCTGAGTAAGCCAAGGGATTCGAGCTCGATCCTTGCAATGCACCTCGGCCCAGGCTTCATTTACGCGGCAAGCGCACATCCTCCCGGCTTACGACGTGCACCGTGGCTTACAGGGGAGTCTGATGTGCAGCACTTTAAGTACGTGCCATGTCAGGCTCGTTTTACACACGAAGCGCAGAAGTCAGGTGCGCTCCTCTTTAGATCCCTACGCAATCTTGTGCCATTCTCTCTTACATCCCTGCGTCATGCATGCTCAACCCCAAGAGACCCCTGGAGCACAGTGACATGATGTATGTGGCAGAAGCTTTTTTCGTTGGCACAACCGCTCCACATTCCTTGGCAGGCAGCAGTACCGATCCACGCTGAAGGCATCCTGGCAAAATGAAGGCAGAGAGGTTGAAGGAAGACGGTGTTTCTGCATCGCATACATACAGTGCAATGCTTTGTAGTGCCACCTAGGTCTTGGCGTGGACATGACAAACCTGCATCCGAGCAGTCCTCCCCAACCCATCTGCTTTTCTGTACTCGTTCTTTGTCATGGATGGATTCGCCTGGTGCGTTGCTGAGGCTTTGGCTGCGGAGATCGCAACCAAGAGAGAGCTGCTTGCACCGCGAAAGAAGCCTCTTGGCAGCGGCGAAGAAGAGGATGTGCACTGCAGCTACATGATTCGAGACTAGCCCAAGGATCAGTGGCGCGCCCTTACCCTAAACCCTAATAACCCTGATAACCCTAATAGCCCTAAACCCCCCTTTCCGAACCACCCTTGCACCTATCGCTTTGCTGAAGGTTCTCCTTCAAGCGCCGCAACCCGGCCCCGGGGCCGGCACCCGCAGGTCCTGGCTCCGGAATGTGGTGGGTGAGGGACTTCGGAACTTCGGGGTACCTCACTTCGGGGTCCCCGCAAGAAGGATCCTACCCTGTAGAATCTGCAATCGGAATTAGGTTCCGTTTTTTTTGCGAATTGGCTTATGCAGCGGGCGGGATACAATGTGTCGGTATTGCTGCTCGAGCAGCATCGCGCGATGCACTGTAGAATTGGGATGGTGGCAATCATTAATGCTATGTTTACGGGGAACTTTCCAAAGCTTGAGTTGAATGCCACATATGTGTTGCCACTCGTGGCTCGGGACCGAAGTCCAGGTTACGGCGATGTGGATCCTGCTGCGAAGCCTGCAGACGGGCCCGCAAGCAGCGCAGCGAGCGGGCAAGGCCTTGAATGGACGAAGTAAACGGCAACCCCAATGGTGGGATACTGTCCCAAGCCGGGCTGGTTGTTAGAGGGCTCAAGCTTGATGGAAAGCCGCTGTTTGGTAACAGCTGAATCGCGTCGCATGTGCAAACATTGCCGGTCCACGTGTGTCGGCTGGACTTGAGCCGATGCAAGAGCCATGATGAGGCATTGTTTCTGAATGTAGCCTGACCCTGAAAAGGAAACAATCTGAACGCATAGGTCGTTCCATGGTGACTTTCCACAGATATCGTAACGAGTGCATTCGACGACAGACGCTGCATCTGCTTTTGAGATGCTTTCCTCGGCGAGCGCATCGCCGAGTTGAGCGGGGAGCGGATTCTGCGAAAGCCAGGAGATCTCGAGGCGAACTGGGCCATAGCTGTGCTTGAAGCCCCCTAACTCCTCAAAATCATTACAGAAGTGGGCAAATGATTAATTAATTATGATTCCTTGGTGTTGACCAGGTTGCAGCGCACGGTCCTATTTATACTGCATCTCGATTCTTGCACTTGGGTTGACGATTCTAAACCTGCCCGATGGTGATAAATGGTGTGGACAACTGCAAAGAGCTTTTGGTCGGTTGAGGGTCGTATATTGCCGGCTGCCTCTTACTCTGGGATAAGTTCTGCCAGTGTGCAGATACATAGTATGGCTTTGCCTGCCCGCGCATTTGGTTTTGTTCTGAAACTGCTGGCCAGATCTATGGGTATGTATCAGCCGGGCGTGTCCTCGTTGCAGTGGTGTTAGCGTTATAGCACGGTGCTGTGCAGAATCAGGTGAGGACTGTTCAGTAGCACTCCCGCTTGTCTCAGCTTATCTAGTTACACTGAATGATGGAGTGCTGTGTGGAAGCGAGGAGCACAGTTGGTATTCAATTTCTAGAGTTTGAGGCAAGAGAGGTAGGTAATTCAGAAACCCCAACCTGTTTCACACAATGACAGATTCTGTGATCCAGGGACGCGACGTGGCGCTCAGGGATCTGCAAGATTGCCGCATAGTTCTCCTGGATAGGACTCTCGGTGGGAGTGCCAACAGCTAGTTCAGGCAGCTAGCCACAGCTAGCCGCCAGCCGAGACTGCTCAGAGTCGAGACGTCAGGCAGTGATCGACCATGAGCAACCACAGTCAAGAGACTTCGTCGACTCCATATGTTCTTGTCTGTGCCTCTTTGTGAGGATTGGAGCGCTGCATGTTCAGCAGCTGACACGCTGCGAGGTTGTGGTGGGAGCGGATCTTCGGCTTGAAATGCTCGGGACAAGCCTTGTTTTAGGCGAAGTGGGGCTTTCTGGTCTGGGTTTCCGGGGCACAGGCTTGGGAAACGAACTTGCGACAGCTTTGGGCCGTAAGCCGAAGATGTTTGGAGCAGCTACGACTACCGACGATTGGTTGGTGTCACTTCCCTGCTAGAGATGCCGAGTGTTCTCGTGTCTGAGTCCCAGAACCGGATTGCAGTCATGAAGCTTGGTCCGAAGCATCGCCTGCAGAATCATCGGAATCTGCATTGACTTGCCTGTGTATCAGGTCTCATCCTCTGCGCTGATTCACTTCTGCAAAGACTGCGTTTTCACCCTCGCGGCCCCGAGCTGAGAGTTCGTTTCATGCAGGAAGAGCATATAACAGAATCCTCGCTCCTCCGAAGTCTCGGCTCTCGTTGAAGGTCCCGGTCTATTTTGAAGCCTTTACCCGTGAGCCGTTCCCCACATGCACACGTGGTGCCAGAAATAACAACAACAGCTGCTGCAGCTGCTGCTACTACTACTAC